TTTTGAACTGCCCTTTGTCTGTGTGGGGAAACAATCAGGAGAAGTTCCAGCTTTCACACTCATCTTTGAAAAGCCATAAAACAGCAGGAGTTCAGGAGAAGCTCTGCTCTCACTTTGTTTAGACAAAGGGGACAAATGACCTTTGGAAGCAAATTGCAGGGAGTTTCTAACTTTTAAAAAGGGTCCAACAGCTCCCGGTTGGATGAGCAAATATATGCCTTATTTGAATAAATTAAAGACAAGAATACGTCTTTACTATAAAAGTTTGTACACAGGAGTAACAAATCAGATTTGCTCTTGCAATTCTCCAGACGTCTTTGCCTTTCTTTCTTCTTCTTTTCCATTTGTCTCAGGTAAATGAATGTATGTCTCTGTTCTGCAGTTTCTGTTATTTCATACGTTGTCTTCTATTGGATTAAACTCTGAAATTCTGTGACTCTCACTCATTGTTTTCTGTGTGGCTACACTCGGACCACCGGGAGAACCTGGGATCCATGAGAAGAATGAGCCAGAGATTTTCATAAGATTATAAGATTTGTTTTAGCTGTCTTTTTATTTCTTCCCCATCTACAGGACACGGCTAAGAACATGTTGGCTAGATGTTTGCATTTCTTCCCCCTCTTCAATAATGCCACCGCTAACATATTAGGTAAAGATTTGTTTTAGCTGTTTTTATTTGTGTTCTCAACAACAGAGCCGTCACTACCATGTTAGCTGGGTTTTTTATTTCCTCCCCATCTCCAACAGAGCTAAAAACATTATTGTTAGCATCTCCCCCAATAAAAAATGTACAAAATTATACAAGTGCGTTATGTAAATGTTCTACGTTAGGAACTCATCCAGGGGTCACAAGGAGGGCTGCAGCCTGGGAAAACTTCACTTCCCACTCTTATGACGCTGAACATCCGTTCAGAAGTGGCAAACAAGAATTTTATCATTTGTTGCTCTCTTGTCCAAACAGAAATCCTCCTGATTCCAAAAATGGCAGCAACTGGCTCATTCTGAGCACACAAGCATTTTTGCTTGGGCAGAGTGAACTGGGAACTGCCATAAATTCATGTCAATGGGTCAGAACGCCTGGTTCATGAGCCAAACAACTTAAAAATAATATTTACTCTCAAACAAATATAATCACTGAACACGTTACGGGATTAGTTTGCACTGTGCTGCTGACCGTACTCTGACTGCTATGGTGACAAGTTGGGCAAACAGACTGAACTGCGGTTACTGAAATAAAATTATATCAGCAGAAGTGTTACTATACCAGGCAAGATCACAGCAGAAAACAGTAAATGTTAAGATTTATGTTGAATTGCCTTAGAGCTGTTGTATTTTACCATTTTATAAATCTAAGTACAGCTTTAATCAATGCAAAGTTGAGTGATATTCAGACGTTGAATGCAAACGTCTGTTACTGATTATATTTGTTCATGTTCATCTTATTTTATATCTGACCTCTCTCACACACACACGCACGTGCGCACACACCCATCAAATATCTTATTACAATACATGCTTAGGGTGTTTTTCTGGATAAATTTAAACCTTTTGCGTTTTGGTTCACAAGTTAACAGTTATTGTTACTAAATAAATATACATTCCAAAACATTCAGTGTTTGTTGTCT